AATATTTATAACTGTAATAATTCAACAGTAAACCTAAAAATGTATAATCAATTTTGTAAGAGATGCATCCTAGCTCAGAAAATTGTTATTGAATATGTCAATGCTGATGTAATGAAATGCTTCTTCTAAGTATGTGATTATTAAATAAATAATTTAAAAAATAAAAAGAATAAATATTTAAACAAACAAAAAAGCAACGCTATTCTTCCAGGACTTATGAAGTTCTTGAGGAACATTGAGAATGACTGGTATTATACAAATGTCAGATTGCTTCATAGCAATTCTTAAAACAATAAGATAATGCCTGTTAAGGATTTCTAACTTCCACATAGAAATGTAGGACACAAATACAAGTTGTTTTCATTATGTTACCTCTTTCTATTTCTCTTTGTAAATTTTAAAACATTATATTCATTAAAGATAAAAATGAAAAAAAAATCATGGATAACACACACACAAAAATTAAATATGACAAAAAGACTAAGTAATTGCATTAAAGGGGATAGGAGTGTAAGGGGATGGATACATGTAGGGAACAAGAATAGGGTGAGGGAGGAGAATCAACAAAAAACAAGTTGAGTTTGAAAATGTCACAATGAAGGCCAGGTGTGGTGGCATACACCTTTGGTCTCAGCACCCAGGAGGCAGAGGCAGGTGGATTTCTGTGAGTTCAAGGCCAGTCTGGTCTACATAATAGGGGAAAAGAACTGTAAATGTAACAAACATAAATGGCACTATTTAGACAAAAATGTTTTAGTTTCTTAGTCTTCCTTCTTAAATACTTTTATTGCTTTGAGCTACTACATTCTATAATTTCCCTATTGTCAACTTGATAATTTCTACTTTAATATTATGAATTACATTAATACCTCATATTACATATATGAAGTAAATTACATGTCGTCTTTATAAACTCAATGTAGAGAGCATAGTCCAATAAACTTATTCTGTAAACCAATGCATTGTGGTTTTTTATTTTTATTTTTTAGAGTAAACTTTTCAAGTACAAACCTCAAATATGTGAGAGAGGTTTCAAGGACAAATATAACAGGATTGATAAAATCCAAACTAATAACGTATGTTATTACAATGTAAACCAGCATAAAAAGATTATCTCAAGTTAAATTGCTATTGGTTAAAAAAAAATCATTGCCTTTAGTTTGGTGAACAAAAAGACTAAATTCACATATTGAAACTCAGTTTGGGTACATGAACTTTCAGAAGTATAAGGTGTCAACTAGGTATTTCTAATATAAAATAGATATTGAACAATATGGTTAAAGTTTACTGGAGTCTCAAAACTAAAAGACAATTTTAATTTTATCTTCAATATACCAACATTATATATCTAGGAATTAGTTCCTCGCTTCTGAGAGGAAATTCTAAGTGGTCACTTAAAATGCTAATTAATATTTAATAGAATGTTTGGTGACAGAGAGTTAAAGGCAGGAAAATGACTGTTCTAGTTTCGTTGTCTGTTACTGTGATAAAACACTCTGACTAAAAGCAACTTGGGGAAGAAAGCGTTTATTTAATCTTACACTTCTAATTCAAGGCAGGAACCCTGGCACAGATATTGTGGAGGAACCCTGCTTAGTGGCTCATTCTCTGTCTTGCTCCTTGGCTCATGCTCAGCTAGTTGTTTTATTTATTTATTTTTGATACAGGCCCACCTGCCTAGGAATGGTGCTGCCCACAGTGGGCTGGGCCATTTCACATCAATCATCAATTAAGACTATGTCCAATAAAGACATAGCCACAACTGATTTGGGTAATCCCTGAAATTACTCTGGGTTGTGTCAAGTTGACAGCTGATGCTAACTAGGACAACAGACATAACTGCCTGGATAAAAGGATTCTAAACATGTAGAAGTCTATGCAAATATTTTGGTAATTCTCAAGAATGGTTAAGAACATAATTAAGAGGCTGGAGTGATTGCTCAGCAGTTAAGAGCACTGTTTGCTCTTGCAGAATACCTGGTTTGGTTCTCAGCACCCACATGGCTGCTAACAACTGCCTGTAACTCCAGGTTCAGGGGATCTGACACCCTCTTCTGGCCTCTGTGGGCAGTGCATGACATGAGGCACTTTCATACATGCAGGCAAAATACTCATACATGGGCTGGAGAGATGGCTCAGCAG